TCGACTTGTATTATTCCTCCACTCTTGTTATTGAATTTAATTGATACCGCGTAAAAACATTAAACATATTCTCCCAGTGTCATTCTCCTTGGAGCATAATCGAGATGAAAGGGAATGCGCAGAAAGTAAAAAAGACGCCGCAAGTTTCTTCCCCTCGTGTTTGCAGCGATGGGAACGACACATCGCATTGATGGAATCACCAATTGCAGAGTTATTGGTTTAATTGCTAATTGCTAGTCCTCTCCTTCAGTGACTTGTGGCTATTGTAATGGCGCCGACGCCTACGAGATCGAGAGGGCGGTCCGCGACACGAATATACGAAGCATTTATGTCCTTTTATTCTCACGGTTATAGTTTCGCTCCCCCATCTTCTTCAATGTTTTTTTTTTTCACTGAAAAATTATACGTGTCATACGTTGGCACGCGTCCAAGACGTCATCTCATCGTGTTGAAGAAAACTGCGGACGGAAGTGGCTGGAGCCGTGAGAAATACCCAGTGAAGAAAGGAAATGTATGTATGATGCATCTTGTGAGATAATCCTGGCATGTACGCCGCTCTGTTTCCCAGAAGAGTAACTATACCCGTTTTCATTTCTCCTTACGCGATTAGCGAGACCGCGGGTGCACGGGCTATGGGTTTATGTGCTGTACTGCATGGGGATTGGCGGGATGAATTGACGTGAAGTTGCCTCACGAGAAGTATTTTTGACCAGGTTAATGATTGAAATCCCTTTGCACGATTTTTCTTCATCTCCGAATCGTTAAAATCGCGTGATGAAAAACTCACGGTTTATTGGCTGAGTTTTTTGGATTCAAGTGATGGTGAACACTGCTGATTGTTCACGGGTTATTATCAACGATTAAAAGATGTTATGTAGTTCGATGGATTTTTTTGAGTAAATATTTGCTGAAGTGATGGGGAGCAAATGATTGCTGGGGTATCTTTACTTTATCATTTTTCTGCAATTTCGTCATTGAAGATTTGCAATTTTTTTTTTAAATCTATGGAAACTATGAATTTCTGATCAATTATTTCATGAGTATTAATACAAATTATAAAAATTCACGTAAGTATATTTTTAAATTTGCAGTGAAATTTGAAATTTCATTACTTTTTCCCATAAAATCGAATGTAGTGTCACTCATCCGATAATTACTAAGAAAATGTCCGTGAAATTTACATGTTTTTCTCACATTGTGTTCCTTTCTAAAAACAAAAGCATGGGCAATATCTTGAATCGAAAATAAGAACTCGAACATGGCGGATATGGAGTAAGACGATTTTCATGATTACAATCCCCTTGTGTGGAATTTTCATGAAGTCTACCGAACGGTCAAAAGAGAATTGAATACCGTTCTATTAAATATGAATAAACCAATCATGATCGTCCAAATCATTTATGTCAGAGGAAAATTGAATAATTCTACTATCACAAAAGTTGATTATAATTAATAGCTAAAATTATCAAATTATCTCACATTTTTTACGTTACACTGTTAGAAAATTACTCTTGAAATTTCAAGTGCAAATTTTCTGTTAAAATAAATGAAGTTCTGGCATCAATATGGCTTTATCTCGCAAATACGTCAAAAACTACATTGCTGTTGGTCGAAATTCAGATAGGGAAATTCAACCCAATGCCTCTTTTGTGCTCCAAAATTCTAGAGAAATTTTCTCATGTTTTCCTGCATGTATTCGACAATTTTGAAGCGCAAGTCGCATTACGGCTGACAGTTTACTAGTTATTTTCAGGAGAGCCATATTGAATTTATTGAAAGTGAGAAAGAAAATGAATTCCAAATTTCACCGAAAATTCAATTGAGTTCAAAATTATTGACCAGCAGACGGACGAAAATTTCCTTTTACTTGAATTTTCAATCAAAATATGAATATTGAGTACCAAATTACGCTGAATTATCGATTAATTAAAATTTTAGAATATAGTCACCTGAATTTTCTCGATTTCTATTAATTTGCATGGAATAATTGAACGAAAACTCATAGTTGCCATAGATTTTACGTGAATTTCTGGCTTGATAACAATTTGTAATGACTATAGCGAGAAAAAATTCAGCGAAAAATTTCTGGTTGTTCATTTTACCGCATCACTACTGCATTACTTCCCTCCATCCGCAGAAGAAATTGAATTTTTTACCCAATGACTCTTCAAAACATTTCCAGAAAAACGTTGGAATCGAATTTGAATGACAAAGTGCCTGGCGTATTCACCCGTATAGGTTCCACCTAACGATTTGCATAGCCAAACAGAACTACGAAAAACGTTTAGGTTAAAGTGGCCAAATGGAAAGTTGTGTGATCTGAAGTTCCTTTCGACAGTCGCAAAGGAGGAGGAAAAACTTACATATGCGTAATACCCTGAATAATCGATGGTTGACGAGTCAACTCGCATTGTGACATGCAGAAATTTCCATGAGAATAAAAAAATCTCGGAGGCTAGAGTTCACAGAGCTTACTATACCATGAAAGGAGAGAGAGAGAGGGTAACAATAGATGGACTTCCCCAATATCCACCGTAGACAGGTGTTCCGTGCAGAACGGAATGAATAAATCTTGGACAAAATATACATTCCCTCCTTTTCCTCATTCGAAACCACCGTGCATGAATATATTTCGGTGGAGGAGTGGTATAACATGACAAGTCAAATATGCCATTTTTAGGCACAACCATCGCGACGAAGAGTAGCCTTTAATGGGAGACAAGTGGGGAATTGCTTTTGTATTAATATAGTATAGTGCTTTACTAATAAATTAGCAATATGCTTCCCAATGGGTATTCTGAACATCATCTGCTTTTACAGTACATAATTCATCGTTACTTCGATTAGATGAAAGTGAAGTCGAATTCGTCGTTTTAATGATAACTAAATCACTTTTGAGCTTTTTTTTTGATTCAAATAATCAGTGGAAGTAAATTTTCCAAAGGATGGAAAATCAACAAACTTTTAAATGCTATGACAATAATTTCCGAAATTCTTAGGTTGATATAACACAAAAAATCTGAAACTTAAATTTGAAGGATTTCAATGCTTCCATTCAGAAGCAAATATACTATTTCTGTAGCGAAAAATAAAATCGAAGATATAGTAGATTATATCATAAGGCCGATAGGTCGAGGTTTGCCACTTGTGTGAAGTTTGCAGGACGACTCACACTCCGAGACAATCGGCCGAATGACATAATGTTTTTTATCACGGAATCCCCAAAAAAATATGGGGTGAGTGGGGGTTTAGAAGCGGGTTCCAGGGGGCGCAGTCACCGGGGGGGGGGCAGAGCCCCTGATTGAGAAAAGCCAAATACACTTGATAAAATCTACACTTGATGAAATACTTGATAAAATCTAAGAAAAAAATTGGAGATTTCATGCCCACGAATTATCACAGAAAAAATCTCAACACCAGGGGCTGTCATTCGACATTTCCTTTATAAATTTTTCAGCACTACTAATTATACCAATACCGGTTAATCAATATCGAAAGTTCTGCATTCCCAGAAGAAATCTTTCAATCCCCACCATTTTATCCCCCATTGATATTTATTTGTTCTCACAAATCCGAGATTAATTTTTTCGCCTTCAACAACAGCTCCGTGAACTGCCTAGTGACACAAATAAATCCACCTGGACAAATTCACAACCAAGCGCTTTCACTTTGACGTATTTTCCAACAATTTGGAACAATCAATTGACGAATGGAAAAAGACGGACATTGAGGAGGTGGCGATGCTGGCGCCGTATCGGAAGTGTGTCAAATTACAGAGGTCCGTGGGTATTAATGACTCCTAATGACAACTCGTTATTCTTTCACCATAAGCCACTGGCTTTTCTCTTCTCTCTGTACCTATATGCACCTCCCCCCGGTTATCCACAGGCCCCGAGATTACCGCCGAGGGGGGACTGCCCGGTCCATGGATTCGCGGAATTCACATTAAAATGATAATTACTAATTGACGGAGGCTAATAGCAATAAGACAAACAACGGACTGAATGCTACATATAAAGTGAAATACCAGTTTCTGTTTCATTTTTCTTGCTGCTCATGGCTCCTTCCGTTCTTTTTTATACTCTCATTCCACCTCGGCACGTAGGCAGATATCGGATAGGCACAATTGCCCTCCCCCCAACCCCTCCACCGCCGCGAACCGGTTGTGGGAGGGATTTTTCAACAGCTGACTGGGGCCTGTAACAAGGGGTTGCGAACGATTTACGCGCTTTTCGAGTTGATACGTCACTCTCAGGAGATGACCTGTCATTTACGCGATTTATAATGATGCTCGAGAGGAGAATAATAACGGAATTTCGTGTGAAACGAAGGACTAAAGTTGCGCAAGTTTCGATTTTGCTGAAGATATGAGACAATGTGATATTGGATCAGAGGTCTGTATAGGGATTTTGGGGAGTTTGAGGGATCGTAAACGCGAGGGAGGACGTGAGTGACGAAAGCGATGACATCGGTCGTCGAATGGTGGCGATGGTGATATGGAGGGTGAGCATGAAGAACGTTTAGAAAGTTTTTGTCGAAGGTTTCAGTATTTTTTATTATGAGAAAAGTATTTTTTTGGTGCTCTTTGAGGTGAATTAGGCGAAATTGCGTCTCGGGATTTAGTCGTTTTACGATCTACTTTTGCTCTCATTCTCCTCATTCTGCTTCACCACTTTGTATACCTATAATACAAATTAACGGGGGAGAAGTTGAAAAAAGGGCCACTTCTTGGTAAATGTTGAAATGACAAACCCACCGCCGACGCTGTGCGAATGTAATTGGCTTTATGGTGGAGTTTTTACGTGGAAAAAATTAGCCTGCTACGATAAAAGGGGGACGTGCAGAGGGCCCCCACAGGGCACCGAGCCGCAGGAATTTGTTCATTTCTAATGACCCTCTTATTTCCATCTTGTCGAGTGCCCTTCGCTTTCCGGATTTTTACGAGATTTAAATTCACTGGTTCGAGACAATTTTAAGGTTTCTGGGTGATTCTGGGTTACCTTGGATGGATTCTGGCGACGCTGGCTCTTTGTCGATTCTACCAAGTGCATCACTTGCTGTAACATGAAAAGAAAATTAAACTATTAGTACAGTTCGATGATGGAAAAAGAATGGGGATGAACAAAAACAATTTTTTTATGATTATTTTTCCCAATCGGATTTCGACCAATCAGAGCGCAATATTTGAGGCTATCCGATAATTTTATTTCGGATATTTCTTCCTAGCTTTTGAATATTTCGCAGTAGCTCTTCATTTTTTTCGGCTCATTTCAGATAGAATCTTATATTTGATAGTCTATGGAAATCGGGTTATTGTATTAACATAATTTGTTCAAATCTTCCCCAATCCACCTCCTGATGTTGTCCACTGAACTCTGCTTAGCCAAAATCCGATTGGGAAAAATAATCCGACAAATACCCCTCGAGATTCAAAATTAACCGGCTATTTCCCTCAAGCTCCCCTGCAAACAAATGATCGTGCCAAGTTTTGCAGAAAGCGCATGCGCTCGCGATTTTTTAACCTGCAAAACTTGCCACCCTCATTTGTTTGCAATGAAGCTATCGGGAAACACCTGATAATTTTGAAGCTCTTGTGGTATTACATACGAAGATTCATGATTTTTGTAAAATTTTTCTCACGCAATTTAATTGACAAATTAAAAATGAGAAATTAAATTTGATGATTGAAAATGGTTGAATCTATAGTGTGATCTGTACCAATCTGTGAAAGATCCTTGAATATCCTTATTCTAGAATTGTTTCCGAACAAGCCAAATAATTGTGGAGAGAACTCCATTTTCAGTACTTTTTATCCTATATCATCGAAAAAGCACGAGATAAATAGTCAATTTTTCTCCGTTGGTCCGGGGAAATTTACTGAACGTGAGGGTAATTTCTGTCGAAACTGTAAAATTTACCCTGTATTTCAGTAAGAATTATCCCAGCCAACGTGGGTGATTGCTTAATATTGCGTATAATGTTTCCGTAACGGAGAATGATTTTTTACCGAACGCATTTGGTAAAATTTCACTGTGCCAGAGGATAATTTATGCATCCATAAAGGTATTTTTCCTGAACGAATGGTATAATATCCTCTACAATTAGCAATTTTTTCATTGAATTACATTTTACCTCAAATTTCAGTAAAATTTGCCACAATTTTCTAGGGAATTTCTATCCAACTTTTCTGTTTGTGGCGGAAAATTTTTCTATAATCAATGTTTAATTATTTTTATTTGCATCAATGTTTAGAGTGCATTCAAAAATATTATTTTTGATCAACTCAATTATTTGTCTATTTGCGAGAGAATTACCATTAAAAAAATATATTTATAATGAAATACCCTCTGATTTAAAAAATAGGTTGATATCTTTTTAATTCATTTGTTGACAAATGAAAATTGAAGTTGATTGGATCCCTATTGAATTCTCAATTGATATCTTTGCAATGCAAAACCCTTCAAAACAAATTCGATTGCAACAATTGACAAAACGAACAATATAAAAATACAAAGAAAGGGTCCATTCGCCTCCCATCAATATTCAAATAATCTATTTGCCACCAGGCTATTTTTCCCAACTCCACAGTGGCCAGTAATACCTCCTTTACGATGGCCGTCATACGTCACAAGAGAAGAAGGAAGAACTGGCCCACGAGGCTACCTCAGTAGCACCCCCTGGGGTGTTACTTCTCACCCACTACCAACTACATTCAGATAATCCAACCACCGTCCCCACCTCCCTATATCATCGGAGACGTATCAATATGCGATTCCAGTGGACACAGCCCGCGTATAAATATCCCCCGATTGCCAATGCCCCGTATTTCACACAATTTTGTCGTGAGATTCCCGAAATTCAGTGAGCGGATGTGCCCACATGACTGTCACAATGGTGGCCAATGCCGTCGTACGCAAATAGGGGTAGAAAAAATGACAAATTTCATGCGGGAAATTTTGAAAAAACTGTCCCCCATATTGAGTCGCAGTCATTTGTTAATTTAAATTTAATTGAGTACCCGCATACGTTTGACAAATACTTATGACGATGATTATGCAGATGATTTGACAGCATGACACCTATTTATTCCCACAAAAGAAATAAAATTACGCAGTAATACAAGTGAAATAAGGAGACCGAATGCTTACGGATGATGTCGGATACTAAAATATTTGATGGCAAAAGACGTCAGGGGTGCCCCTATATGGATGGATTATCGAAGGCACGAAATTCTCCCGAGTGTCGTAAAAGAGATACAGCTGGACGTGAAGTCCGTTTTTCCTTATTCCTGCGCTGTACTGCAACATCTGACCATTTCTCACTTCTATGATGTGTTTAATGCGTATTCTACATTCGTCGAAATGATCGTAAAATGTATTTTTCAGATCTATGAATATGGTAATAGCTGCGGCTCCTTTTATTCCTCTTAGAAATGCAATTTCACGGGGGAGAGTATGGGGGACTTCAGAGTGAAGGGCAGTTGTAATTCACGTGATTACTGGACTGGGGGTGTACGATGGTTATTTTGGTATATTATTAATCGGAGAATTGGAATGAATTGACAACCGCAGATATCGCGTGTGTGGTTTGAGGTAAAGGTCAGTATTGATTGACAACAGAATATTTCAACGGAATTTGGGAGGACCATACTGAGAAAAAATATTAATTCTGATAATCAAATTTGTTCCAGAAAGGACTTTACAGTGACATTTTGCGAGGGGCTACTCACTCCCTGATTGAGTGGCACCATGATTTCAAAAAGAAGTCGACTTGACGTGATTTCAGGATTGATTTCAGTAATGTCGAAAATTCAGAGAAATCTCTCCTTCATTTCCACATTCCTCAGAATCTTCAGGGAATTGCTTCAAATATTCTTGGAATTCTAAGAATTATAAAGGAATCCCCGGAAAATTTAAGGGAATTTGACAGTGAATATTAATTTTCACTTGAAAATTCATGTAAATTTCGGATTTTCAAAAATGCGACCTTTACTTGAATTTTCAGAAAAACTTGAAATTCCATTGACTTAGTTTCCTGAAATTCGAATTGAAGGTTTTTGTCCGGAAAATATAGCCAATTTTTTTTCAAATATACACTGTTAAAAATTCTTGCCTAAATTTTCCGTGTTAAAGCCCGAAAATTATTATCGTGTTTTATTTCCATTAAAATTTTTGAATATCTTGTCATTGAAAAACAAAGATTCCATTGATTTTCTGTTTTGAATGATCTGAAAATCCATAAAATATTTGATTTTTCAATGCCATTATTCCGTGAAAATTCGGAAAAATTTTCATGTTATTTTCTTTTTGAATATTCATGCTCCATTGAAAATTCAGTCAACTTGGGAAATTTCTGTCTTACTCCCACTGAAAACTCAGGAATTTCCTTGAATTCTACTTAAAACTTGAAATTTCATAGCCATTTTTCCCCTAAATCAGATTCAATGTAGAGATCGATAGGCAAAATCGTAATACAGAATTAAAATTATGTTATTGTATACAAAATCAGGTAAGTGTATTATGCAATTTTTATTAATTTAATTATCAATGAACATTTTCAATTTTTTAAATATTTTATAAATTAGTAATCAATTTCGCAAGAATAATAATTATTAGATTCATTGAAAAATCAAATTCAGATATTTAGAATTAATTGTTTAATTCTAGTTGAAAATTAAAAATTATTTTCAAATTTTAATAAAAAATGTAGTGAACTTTCATTTATCGACGGTTAAATCCTTTCAAAATTACTTAGTAGCAATTTTTGCCGATCCCTGATTCAATGTCACTTTCATGAGAATTACTACTATATTTTCCATGAAATTTCGAAAAATTTCTAACAGTATATTTGAAAAAGAAAAACAGTCGCAAAAACTTTCCATTCTTTGCCTTCCTCAAAGACAGGTCGCCATGAAAATCGGTGGATGCCCTTAGAATTGAAAACTCGACACCAACACGAGCCCAAACTAGCAAAAATATCAGTTCCGAGACATCACAGGGGCGTCTACATCTCCACTGATCTCTAGACATACCTTATTGTAATAATACCGCGTACCCCGAACGGTTGAAGGTCGCGGTGGGGGTGAGAACCCCTCCACCAATTTTTTTTCTCCTCACTTTTTACCATGAATACAGAATGCAACCTTCGAATCTGGCTTGCGTGGCCACGAGCTGGCCGGTCATCAATTTTTAAGAACTCCCTCCCCCACGAATATCATCCACACATCGAGAAAATTCTCGGAATATGGAAACCACGTTCAACGACGTATCGACGGGGGAATAGTTCTCATGTACTTCAAATGCACGTGAATATTGAAGCAAACTTTGCATTTTTTCATATTTTCATTCCCATCATTTTTCTCGTATTCTTCATCATAAAAGGCCATAAATAACATTTTTCTCTCCACAGACCGGGAGAGAGGGAACGAAAAATGAGAAATAAAAAGCTATTTCCAAGAGTTGCAATCATTCTACGTGCACAAGACATTTTCCAATTACAAACGTCGCCATTAAAGCAGACTGGAACTCCACTGCGGATATTTTTAAAAGAATATTCCCACCCCTTTGGCCCACCATAATGAGATGAGGTGGGCGAGACGGGGTAGTGGGAGGAGGGGGTAGGATGTTGGAGGAAACCGGCGCGATAATGGCTGCCGTTATGAAGAAATCAACCCCCTTGCCTTGCAGAGTAACCCCCACCCACCCAGCCCTCTCCTACTTGATCTTGAGTTGCCATGGTGACCGCCTTGTCCAATGAGTCCAGTCTCCCACTACTGCTGGCTCGGTGTTGTAAGACTCTCTCCTGTGTCTCAGAATCCAACTGCCTAAGTAGAGGATTCTCCAATGCTCTTGGAAAATTTTTGTCTGAATTTCCCGATGAGAGATAATTCAAAGAGACGCGAAACCTGTGTGCTCGGAGAAACAAAATTAATGGTGCTAATCAAATTTATTTCTGTTGAATAAATTTGTTCCAAACAAATTTTTTCCGTGATGTATTTTCTGATTTTTACTAAAATTATAAATAAATGTATCTGTTTTGGGAACTTTTAGAAAGACAT